TATAAAAGTCATCGCGACGCTTCTTTACAATATTTTTCGAAGGCCATCTCAATCTTACAGAAGAATGATTAATCATTTTGCGAGACAGCTCCTAATTATCCATTTTAAAAAATCAATCGAGAGATAGCAATTACCTATATCTAATGCTGAAGAATCGGATTCGCGTCACTTCAAAATTTCTACATAAACAATATTCCACGCCAAATTTCTCGATGTCAAGCGCTCTACTTTCTCTCTTGTAGTGAAAGAGTTTCTTATTGAATATGTCCTATATATCGAATAATTATATTATCGCTGCTTGAATTACAAGTCCCTCTCAGGCTTTACGGGGCAACAGAGGCTTAGACTGCAAATTTCATTACATATTTACTTTGATGTAAGTGTTGAAAAGTGCTCTTGCATATTAGCACACTATAAGCGGAAAAGGTAGCGTGATCTATGTATAAAGTGCGTCGTAAAGGAAGGATATAGCTTGTAATACGTAGTCGGTTCAATAATATTTTTTTATTCTACACAAGATCTGTGATGATGACACCATGCATTAAAGCACATTGCTTCCCGCTCATTGCGCGAGTTTAGTATTATTGAGTGATGAAGAGGCCGATTTGATGGTTCGTATCATTCAATAAGTAGTGTGTTACCAAATGCGCAGAATATCACCCGCAAAACCAATTGTCTGCGACACATATCGTCCATACAGCTCACTTAACGAATTCACATATGTAAGTCGGAAGAAATTTCCACATTTTTTGGTGGATGCCAGCAGCTTAAGTGTGGGCACGCGCACTAGTAAGTTCTACCCATTACAAGTGCTATCCATCACCCTCGTCTTGATAAGACAAAGGCGATCGAACGACTATCCAAATGACAGCATTTATCAAAAGATATTCAAACTGCTATGTGTATAAGCATCTAGTCAAAGTAAGGTGCGAGTATTTTAGCTCTCGCCTTTACGTCCATGGCGATGTAAGCAAATACATCTTCCATATGATTGTAATGGCGTTCGAGTTGAGCTAAATGCACTACCTGAACCTTATTAACGAATTCGGAGTAATGATACTTGAAACCGCGTATTGTAAGATGTAGGTGATTTACGTCGGGTCATTTATTGAACGGAAAGTTTGCCCGCAAACACGCAGACCACGTAATTATTTCTACCGCGTCTTGCGTGTTTCAGCGATCAGACCTTAGTGGCGCTCAATTGTTTGGACCAGCCTTTATTGGACATTGCATCCTTGGCCATCCTGTTGAGCCCTGTTCTTAGTTCATCTGCACCCAGATGTATAGTCGCCAAGTCTGACCCGTTCGGTCCAGCTTTACATCTTACGCCTCCAAAGAATATTATCATATGGGAGATGGGGCATTGAGGTGGGTGCGACCCAAGTGGCTTGATATGTACCGCAAAACCTTTTAGATGAAGCTTGGTGTAGTGCCTGTAAAAAATGAGCAGATGGTTGGTAAATAAAGTGCTCTCTGAGTGTTGTCGACCTTCCAGTGATCGTATCGCTAGGTGCTATTTATTCGATAAGTAAGGAGGGGTAACATTCTGCGCCATTTCCTTCTTTTGACGATATTGTATGGATTACCCTCAGCCTCCAGTGTTTCAGTGTAAGTTATACCCCGACCTATCGATGTTTGTGTGAGAAGAAATAGTGCAATGAAGACTATGCATCATCACTCATGCTTCCAGCACTTTGAAAGTTGTTGGTATCCAAAAAGTACAATCATGTATTAAGTATATGTCTTTTCATTAAAATTCTCCAAGTGAAAGCGCTAATCCGATGTCATCCGACTTCCATTACGCCGCCCTTGTAACGGGGCACACCCTTGTGTCAGATCAACACAAGGTAGCGTGCGCCCAACGTCACGTACACGTGACGTGAGGAAGTGCGACCAAGACAAAACAGCTCGGGTCATGTTACCCTGGCTTTAAAAGTGTCGTGGTGTTGTGAAAAGGTTCATTCGTTGTAACGGGGCAGCCCGTTACATGGAATTGTCATTTGAGAGATAATGACAATAAAGAATATTATGTTGAATATTCTTTTAACAACATCACCAATAGTGGTGATATTGATGGGTCGACCAAAGAGTCTGTTCATTGGTTGATATCTTGACGATATCAACCCACCAATCGCCGCAAGACGCGCGCAATGAGTGGTGACGAGACGTCACCATACACTCAGTTATATCAACATAATTCAGTCAGGTTATACAGAGAGACAGTAGTTAAAAGACTTAATTATATTAATACAACAGTTCTGCTTTTTCCTTATCTACGCTTCCTCGTTTGCCTCGTGTACGTCTATCGGGGCACCGATACCCTTGCGTTAAGTGCACGCAAGGGTGTGCCCCGTTACATTCGTGTGGTTTACGGTAAGCGAAGATATGGGGTGAAGTTTCGTTTGGTACTACGATCGTGTATGTTTTAGCTGCAAGTACTCGTTATAGGACGGATAAGCCTACATGCTAAGTTCTGAAGCAGAAAGACGATGATATACAATAATGGTATAATTTCGTCACCAACGAGACGATCAAGGGCTTTAGTTTACTGTTTAATACCCGTAAATGGATATTTTTATGTGCTGATCCAAGTTTTTTGCGCGTCGTTCATGTCTGTAGGTGACGTTCTTGATTTTCTCCACGACCCAACGGCAAATTTCTAAATGTCTGCTGCGCCCACGTGCATGCCGAACCGCCAATGCTTGTGTGTGACGAATAAACTTTGCGCAACATGAGCCATAAGCGTTCACACACGAGTGCACCAAGTGCAACATGGTGATTATGCGAAGATCTGTTAAATATATCAGCGCAGGCTTCATTGGAATCCCATAATTCGTCTTCAACTAATACATGACTTCTTCTACTAGTTGGTGAACCTTTCTCACGTGTATGTTGTGTTCCTCGGACATCTCTGTATTCCAAACACTCCATTATCATTACTACAGCCACCCAAAGTGTCTCGCCTGCTAAAAATCCGGCAAATAGGCGATTCGAAAACCGAAAGTGAGTACCGTGGAATCGGAATGGTGTGAGCTGCTTTAAAATGTAGCGCAAGGCGCTCGCTCCAGAATGATTGTCGACTTCGCATACGCGCACGTTGTGCAATTCCACTCCAGATGGATTGTGGACTGACCGTATAAGTGCACATTGTGCAATCCATCGAGTTTAATAATCATTGGATGACAACGTATAGGAATACGACGTCGACAGTTAATAACTGACATAGAATTATGCATAGAAACAGTAAGCTTAGAGTAGCAGCTTGTGTGTGAAGTAAGGAAATGACATTCGTTTTCCCCGTGAAGGCCCAACATTTAATACCGTCAAATGCTCCATAACTTGATAGGATATTCGTTGCCCCTCAAAGTAGCAAATTATCCTCCTTACCCGGAACTTTTTCCATCGAATCCGGAACTTCCTATCCAGATAATTTACGAGATAACAATGCGACGCCCAGAAAACAAAGCTGTTCAAGCCCTTCCAAAAACTGCCAAGAAATTATGTGATTTGTAATGGAGTTGTAAATTTGTTGATTTGCTTCACTGTGGCTGTATGAACCATACGTGTCGTCCAGCATACGTTCGTTTCAGAAACGTATCTAACGAAATGCAAACCTCTGCAAGATTGTCAAAGTTTGAGGCGTGCTCTTCTTCATTGTATCTTGATGGCTGTCCCCTCTATTATTTCAATTTTGTTAACCTCGGTCTCGTTTCCGGTTTGTGTGCCCAAGTAAATACAATATTCACAAGGCTAAAGTAACGTAGTCGGCTCTATTGATGCAGCTCTGTATCGTTCGTCTACCCCTTGTTGAACAAGAACCAGAAGTATCTCCACAGCCCCGAATAATTACCATCAATGCAGCCATTTGTCTAGGCAATCGTTGGTAGCCTGCCCCATTATCAGCGTTTGCGGAAACACGATGCAAATGAGTGCGGTTTCGTTCTTATAGGACTAAATAAAAGTGCCTTCTCGTTCCACTCGATGCAGCAAGTACACTTGATGCAGAGGCATTCACTAAATAAAGTATACGCTAACTAGATTGAAGAGGATAATCGATTTTGTATAATGTCGTCAATAATATGCATTCCTGTTTTAGTTTCTGTTGCCGATGCCTGAATACAATCTTCTGCTTCACCAATCTGCTGGTCCATTTGTTCACGAACAGTAGAAGTAGGTTGAAACCATGCATGACAACAACTTCGATGGAGATTGTCACCGCCTACTTATTGAACATATCTGCTAAAGGTAATTTTACGGAAATATATCGAACTGTACTTCTCGGATAATTTCACCTTGATAATCTTGACAATTCTCGTGGCAGTAGTGCCCTGTGACGGCCACTCTGTTGCAGCTCTTACTTAAGCATTTCAAGCCTAGCAGCGATCGCAGTACTTCCGCTGCTGGCACCGTTTATTTAGCTACTTGGCCGTTCCAGCACTAGATTTTTACAGTTGGGAGCTGTCCCGTAATGTACACAAGGAAACTTGGTATACACAGTGAATTAGTAAGCCTAATCAAAAGCTCATTTGGGCCTGTGTGTAGTGCTCGAACTCGACTTGGCTTGGTGATAAACAACGATCGAAACAGTGAGAAGTTTGCTCATTTTGGATTTTTGCGACCAAAGTATAACACAAAGCTATGATAGCAATTGCAATTGCTCCTTCGGTAAAAAGACAAGCACGAGGGAAGGCGATTTGCGAGGTTCTCCTAGTCGTGCCAAGCGCAGTCCATAGGAGCCTTGCATGACTCGCATCATGGACGCATGAAGGACGCATATGAGGATTATTACAATGGCAACTCTAAAAATCGACCCAGACGGAGACGTGACGGCAATGTGTGTAGAATGTTTAATAGGCGACATCTGCCAAAAGGTGCGGCTTCGGAGTTCTCAGAAACAAAGATACAGTGGCTACAGTCCCGCCTCTGTCGCCAAGCGCCGCAACATCCGATTGGAATCAGAAAAAGATCTGACATTCTCGTTTTTGCCGCAGTGAGTGCCAATGGACACGTACGTCTTCGTCTACGGGACACTCAAGCGCGAACTCGTCAACTACAAGCGCTATTTGCACCCGGCCGAGCTCACAGGAAAGGCCGAATTCGTAGGCACGGGACTTACCGCCTGTGCTGAGTTCCATCTGGTGCTGAACTCTGACCGGTCCGTGCCGTGTATGTACCGAGCGCCCGCCGAGGGCTATCAAGTTCCTGGGGAGGTCTATCGCGTGGATGCCGACGTGCTGATGGCGCTCGACATTCTCGAGGCCGTCAAGGAACAGTACTATGCGCGTGAGGAGATTCCTGTGAGCGTCGTGGAGGGGGAACTCAAGCACCAGACGGTCATGTGCCAAGCGTACATTATGCCAATGAAAGAGGAACTGCTCAAGCTCAAGCGCGTTCCCGAGTACACGGCGGCCATGCACGAGAAGTACCGCTCGCGTACAAAGACGCCGAGCCTTGAAGTGCTAGCGTGTCTGTATGGAGAAGACGTGACGACTGCCGTGCAGAGCAAACTGGACGACGGCGTGGCCTTTGACGACGCGTGGAAGGCCGTCGTGGCGACGTGAGCGGCGACTCTACCGCAGCGACAAGTACGTAGGCTTTTGTGCACGCTGTTTGCCGTGAGTAAAAGACACTGGTTCGTTTTTGTACGCTTTTGACGAGTTAAACCGAGATGACAATCACTGTGATATCGTCGCAGCTTCCGAGCTCTCGAGCCTTTTCCACGACGGCTCGTGCAGCCGATTTGGCGCATGCCGCGGCCTTTTTCCCGCCGAGGTTCTCAAGTACAAGCGCCATTGTCTGGCTATTGTTCAAAACTGTCCAGACGCCGTCGGTCGCGATGACCAGCGTACTGCGACCGACGAGGAGGTCACTCTGATGGATCTCGGGCGTGGCAATCACCCAATTCTTCATGTCGCGGCCCTTCATATCGATGTCACCGATCGTCCGGAACGGTTCCAGCACACCTCCGATTCGGTCACCGGAGATAAAAGCGCCACTTCGTAACACACGCTCACGTTCCTTCCGGTTACTCGCGCAATGGTCTCTTGACAACGCCAATGTTTTGCCAGTATGAGTTGCACCATGCAGCGTTTGATCCACTCTCTTCTTCTTCTTCTTCTTCTTCTCCTTACTGTCTTTCTCTGCGGTCGATTCACATACCTCATGAGCAATGGCGCGACAGTCGCCAATGTTCAGCACGATCTTCTGCGGTGAGTCTGTCTTTGGGTCAACGTACAGCAGGACAGCCAGCAGGCACGCCCCACTCATGTCGAGTTTGGATGTAGCTAGCGCACAAAAGGTGCGGTCCAGTTCCTCCATAGCGTGAGAGAGCTCAACGTGGTCAAAGCCGTCGTCATAGACTCTGTCCAGCGTCTTGAACAGCTCTTCCACGAGGAAGTCGCCGGCCTGCGCCCCGCCGTGGCCGTCCATGACCGCAAACAAGTGAAAGCGCTCGTCACTCATTACTACCAGTCGGTCTTCATTGGTGTGGCCCTGTGAGCCTTCTGAAGAGAGCGACGCCACGTCGAGCAATTGGATCCCGTTTGTCGTGGCACCCACGATCCCATTCAGTTCGTGCCCGTTCTCACTCACTTTGTCGATCGACCGGTCGACCTCACTGTTGACATTACTGCACTCGTCGGCATATTTCGAGCCACTCGTCGACTGGTGGCCGAGAGCGGCGTAGATACTGTTCCACGCGAGTTGCAGTCGCGGCGTGGAGCGGCTCATCGATGACGAGGAATCTGCTCGAATCGAAAGTGGGTACTTCGCCAGCTCCGTCTTCTTATCCACGACTCGCTCATTTTGGATATTGTTTTATCCGGTATCAACCAACCGCTCGACTTTTCAAATCGGATTGTTTTGATCGTAGCGCGGTGATCGCCTTGAGCGAAATATAATACGCATTGCCAGCTGCTCGTAGGCGTCAATTACCTCAATAAATGACATCGCGCTGGCAACACCCCGTTTACCGCTCGATGGGTGCTAGCGAACAGGGTCTCGAATCCCACTGCTTCGCACCTGCTGAGCCTGCATTTCTTCCTTCTCTTTGGAGCTCATAATCGAACAGCTCAAACCTTCCCAGCGTGCGAGCAATGATGGTGCGGCGAGCAATGATGGTGCGGCGAGCAATGATGGTGCGGCGAGCAATGTCCATCACACGCAACCGGTACGAGGCAATGTTTGCAATGATTTCCATCGACCCTTAACAAAACCACACGTTGGCCATGTCCATGCCTACCGACTTCCAAATCTCTACCATGTACTGACCACTGACACACGAGTCGGATCTTGTCCAAGTCGCCACCCATCTTGTTGTTCAGCATAGCGAACCAATACTCCACCTAGAAGCGGAGCATATTGCCTACCGGTGTAAGCTTATACCCGTTCACAGTGCATAAAGCGCTCTGGGCAATGTGCATACACCCCTGACGGCTCAAAGCCACTGCAGGCAATAAGGTGCATGTAACGGGCTCACCCCATTATTTAAAACTGAAACGAATGTATCAGTCCTAAATATTATCTGATTTTGATAATATTCACTCAACACTGCTGGAGAAGAGGTGATGTTGGCGGAATATTACCCCCATGTGTAATATTCTTGGGCGCTCCAGTTATTGGTCGATGTAGACGCTACATCGACCAAATGAACCACCAGTCGCTGCTGGATACGCGCTATGGGTGGCGAGCAAGAAACTTACATACGACATTGTAGTTCGATATAGTTAGATCAAGACAAAGATGGTTTATGAGGAAACTTAGATATATTAAATACAGTTCTACCTTTTCCCTCAAAACAGTGCTTCCCTAGCTCCGTTTACTTCCTCGCGCTCCCTCACTCCACATGTTAATGACGTCGGGAGTACTCAGTCTTGTGTTCTATCAACACAAGGACTTACCAGTTATCTGGTAAGATCGTGCCTCGTTACACCTGGTAGCACTCTGTATCCCGTCGAACGATTACAACCACCTCATTCACCATGAACATGTTGGATGATGAACAGACCTTTCACGCCACGCGTGAAGGGTTTACTCATTTTAGTGACATCGAATAGAGTGGGGTAGAACGTAAGAGTTCTATTGTAGGCGAAACCGCCATTAGCGCCATGTTGGAGTCTCTTTACAGCGACCAGCAACACTGCCACTATAGCCAGGTTCATTCAAAATAGACCTGCCTCCTAAAGAGAGAAAGTAGTGTTGCTTTACCAGCAAGGCTCGCAACAGCCCGAGAAGTTGAGACAATTCGGTGCTCAACAGACAGAGCTGTTGAGACAGCATCAATTCAATGCTGCTGTGGGCGGGACGACACACATGTGTTGTCCCGAAGTCTCGAAGGTTGGAATGTTCAGAGTACAGAGAATTCGAGGAAGGCTCCCTGTTGTTATGGTTCGTCGAACTAGACAGAGCTACAAAGACGCGTCGTATCGACAATGAGCAAATGAAACGCACACTGTGCTCAAACCCACTTAGCGAGACGTGCCAAGACTCGGGCCTTAGGACTGGAGATGAGCGACCCATATGCTTTTGAGTTGCTCGAATCCTTTAAGACCCGGCTCAAGCAGACGTTTGAACCGCCACGGGCTGAGTTCAGGGCTCTATTAAGGATCCCGAAACTCAAGCAGGGAAAGCGTGATGTGCACGCTTGCGCTCAACATTTACAATTACTCGCGAGTAGTATACCTGCTAATTCAGTACATGAACACATCTTGTTTAATGTGTTCATGCAAGGGCTCGGAGACGGGCCCATCAGAAACCACCTGTTCCGTTGAGAGTTGGATACGCTTGAGCAGCCAACCGCAGCTGCGGAACAGGAAGTCTTTAGCATGGTGCAGGATTACGCTAGCTCAAGCTCTTATCGTCCACCGAGAAGACAAGAGACTGAAGGTCCAGAACCCATGGACCTCTGTTAGGTTTAAAGCGAGAGACCTCGCTCTTTAAACAACAAGCAATCATGTAAGTGCAATCGTTGTCAGAAGCTAAGACACTAAGCTTGCGAGTGTAGTGCCCCACGCCTAAAATCTAGCAGTACTAAGCTTATTGAAAGATTATTTGCTAAAAAGGGCGATGGACGTGGGTCCAACGCTGTTGCGAAACCGCAACAGCGAGACGGACCATCAAAAAATGGTCGGGGTCAGTAGGGGCGGAGCGCCCTACTGATCCAGCAACCTCAAGAGAATTTGTAAATCTCTTGACGAAAGTTGCTCCAGATACACAATCATTGTGTGTATCTGCACCTGGTGATGAGATATTACTCATCACCTTGAAGTTGGAAGCGACAAATGATTTGTCACTTCGTGCTCTAATTGACTGTGGGGCGTCGAACAATTTTATTCGTCGTTAGTCACTAGATGGTCTTAGGCTCAAGTTCGTTGAGCGCTATGTCCCCTTAACGAGGATGACGGTGTGCCTTGCTATAGGCGCCTCAATTACCGTTAAGAAACGTGTAGTGGGAATCCACTACACGTTGAAGGGCGAACAGTAAGATGACGACTTCATCGTACTGGATCTGGATGACAAATTTGATGTCATCCTAATATTAACCTGGCTCAGAAGGTACGAGCCAAGCGTTAGCTGGCAGCAGCGATCTGTGAAGATGCCTGTCGCTTGTTCATCCGATGACCATCTGATGAACGTCATGGAGCGTCCACAAAAGTGTGAATGTACTGCGAGTGAGTGCGATGGCCTCAATTGCGGTTCGGTCGTTAGCACGACTGCACAAGACCTCAGTGTAGCTGATCACTGCACTTTGGAGCAAGCTCCCGGCGGCTATAAAGAAGTACAGGCATCATCGACAGTACACCACTCGAATAAGTCGAGTGGAAAGGGACATGGATGCATGACTAGCAAGAAACGTCCCAAGAAGAACGAACCGGTTGCCCATAAACGGCAACACGGTCATCCTAGGTCTACTGGACAGTTGACCGTAGAGAATCGTTACCTAACTGTATTTGCACAGCCACATCCAGAAGACATCGAGGGAATAAGACCCCCCGTATTTGAGGAAGGAATTCCTCAAACTTTACTCGCTGAGAAATTAGGATCTCAGAAACCTATGTGGACAATTCCTCAGCAGTCTGTGGAAACGAGATCTCAGGATGTATCCGAAACATTGAACGTATTGGTCCATGAAGGATCAAATGTAGGCGCTTACACGCTTGACCGGATTTTGCCTCCGAAATTAACTTCGGAGATTCCTCAGTTGCCAACGCTAGAACCGAAACGGTTCTTGCGTGATCTGCGTAGTGGCAAAGTCAAGCAGATATGCATACTCGTCACAGAGGATGATTATGATGCCGATATTCGGTCGGCCACAGTATTTGCTGAGAACGAACGTGTTCTCAGCAGCTCATCGATGGACGAAAGTGTCCTCGATGAGAAGACTCGGATTGAATAATACGCGTCTCAATCCTAGGCGTCGCTTCAGGCAAATCCTTTGTATAAGGATTTGATCGAATTTAGGGATGTATTCCCTGAATCTGTATCGTGCGAGTTGCCTAAGGACAAAGGCACTTGACACGAGATCAAGCTCAAAATGAAATAAAAGTACTGTGTCATGAAGAATTAGCAGTACCTGATGAACAGGTACTAGCGATCGAAAATATCTTTGATGATCGCTTGGATGCGGTCCGGGTGAAGAAATCCACTTCTCCTCATAGCTCTCCAAAATTCTATGTGCGAAAAGCCACAGGAGGGGGACGGATCGTACATGCATTCAACAAATCGAATAATGCAACAATACCGGCTCAGACGCAGATGCATCGGAATGATATAATCATTGATGGTATTTCAAAGAGTACCATCGTTTTGCCCATGCATCTAATGGATGACTCTTATCACATCCTTATGCGTAAACAAGGCACCTCGTCCACAGCAATGGTATATCCCAGCGGTATGCTGTGGGAGTGGCTAGTGATGCCACAGGTCAAGAGTAACGTCCCTGCTAATATCAACTGATGTGTAAAAACTCTGTTGCGATCGGTAAGAGGATTTGCAACGAGCTGCGTCGACGATGTGTTCGGATGTGGAGGTTCATGAAACACACATTCGTCAGGTTCTTACACTTATGCGCAATCATAAGTTGTACTCCAATCTCAAGAAGTGTATATTCGCAGCTAGCAAAGTACCACTCCTTGAGTGCATCGTGGGTAAACGCAACGTACGTCCTGATCCGGAAAAGATATAGTCGATCACAGACTGGCCCGTGACAGTCGATGTCAAGGGACTTCGTAAGTTTCTTGGGCTAGCGGTGTACTTGCACAAGTACTCGCGCAATTACGCCGAGATGGACGTTCATCTTTCTTGTTTACTCAAGAGAAATGTGAAGTGGTCATGAAACGCTGATTGTAATTGTTTCTTTGAACGTATCAAATAAAATTTTATGCAATCGCCCATCTTGGCGATTGCAGATCAGGACAGACCATTCCATGTGGTCTGCGACGCCAGCGATTTTGCGATCGGCTGTGCGTTGATGCAACTTGATACAGATGGTGCATAGCGCGTCGTCTACTATCAATCGCGTCATCTTCAAGCGGATGATCATTGTCAACCAGTGCATGACAATGAAATCCTTTCCATGAAATATGCACTGGCTAAGTTTCGCATCTATCCCTTAAAAGATAGACCGTTTATAGTCCATACGGAACATGCGTCACTACGCACGGCCATAAATAGTCCTCATCTCTCGCAAAGAATGGCGAGGTGGCTGTCCTTTTTCGTAGAGTATAACTTCT